AAATAAAATTTCCTTGAACAACTAAATTGTCGTAAAGAAGTTTACACACTACCACGATGATTAACTGCAAAATATTAACATAAAAGTAAAACGTTTTAAAAATATTTTAGAAAGTTGATTCTGTTAAATCTTAATAAAATGAGATCTAGAATTTGCAGTTTTTAAACAACCTCAGTTGGTGAAAACACTTTTTGACTTACCACATTTGTTCGATATCTGCACCTACATAATTAAAAACTTATTATAAATGACTTATTCTATCGACAATCAATTTCAACGACCAAAAATATTGAATTATATTATATTATAAACAAAAATATAAACAAAATAAAATAAATATCAATGTTATTTTGATCTGTAACAACAATTTTATAATTATGCTAATTTTGTTTATGTAATAAACAGTAACCACACTTTTCGCTGTCTTTTACATTTATCACAAAAATATTGGTAAACGACTTTCTTAATTTTTCAGAAAGCAAAATAGCAAGTGTTAGTTAATTAAATAGATAAAAAATATGGACATATATACTGGTATACAACGAATGTTTAAGGATGTTTGCTAATAACAAGTGCGAGACAATATTTTAAATTATATTCTCAGCTTAAGAAAATGTGTGAAATAATACTTCTAGAGGTTCCGTGGCACAGAATAAAGTAAAGTAACTTTAGCTGAGTATGTAAAAATCAAAATTACTATGATTATCTGCTTTCTAGATTGCCAAAAGGCATTTCACTGTGTAAACTGGACAGTTTTGAGGAACATTCTACATGAGATGGGAGTTCCTGATCATCTGTCAACTCTGGTGAAGAATCTACACGAGAATAATGAAACCAGAATAAGAATTGAAAACCATAAGTCCAACTTTCAACTTCAAGTCAGTAATAGAGTCCACCAAGAATGAATTCTATCTCAAAGTCTTTTTACTTATATGAGAAATATATAATGAGAAAAGCATTTAACAAATGGAATGGCGGTGTCTATACCGGAGCAATAGATGTGGTCTTAAGATCAATTAAAAATAGCTATGATAGTCGATTATTGAAACTGACTGAAAACAACAGGAGCCTTTCACCATTTTAAAATGGTTAACGAGTTCAATTATCTACATTCCTACATTAGTAATGCAGGATCTTGTGTAACCGAAATACGTAGGGCCAAAAATGATATTAGTCTAGTATCTAAAGTATGGAAAGATCAGTCTTTGTTGAAGAATATCAAAAGGAGATTGGTCCGTGCCATAGAATTTTATTTAGTTATGGATCCGAAACATCGACAATTAAATCATGCGATAGGAAAAGACGCCTGGGAAAAGGAAAGAAGACAGAGGAAGAATATCCTGGTTGCATAACCCAATAAATTGGGTTAACTTGACCACTACCGGACTTTTTAGGGCAGAAGTCAATAACCACGTTAGTGTCGAACATTCGTAATGGATAGGCATCATAAAAAGAAGTTGGTACATATATTAATTTAGAGTAGTAGGGGATAAGTCATGTAGGAAGTAGAAAAAAGCAGACAATAGACCCAAAACACTTCGTAAAAGCTTCATGAATTGCACAAAGCCAATTCAAAAATCCGTCTAGGATCGTCGGAAACAACTGTGGAAGAAGTCTTACCAGTTGACGGCACAGATCCTATGCAACAAGGTATACATTGTTGTATTCTATTATATATATATATATATATATATATATATATATATATATATATACACAGATGATGACAGATCTGCCTACGGGAAAGTGCAGGATAACCAGCATCTCCTCAACTGCCCGAATCTGTTTGATAGTTGCAAACAGATAACTCTCTCTGGCTAATGAAAGGTCCATCCACGTGCCGGAATATTGGAGTGTGAACCAGACGCAGAATCTTTGTAAGTAACATTGATATTATACAGCAATGGCGAAATATAAATTTCCTCAATGTTCTCCATCAAATCAACAATCAATGCTACAACTAGTGTAATGTAATGGAAAGAAGTGACTGGTGTAATGTGTCATAGAAAAATTCAAATGAAACTGAGTGATAAATGTAATAAAATCGTGTAAGAAAGCATTAGAAAAATTTATCAGAATTCGGGATAAAGGCAAAGAGAATAATAATGATGAGAGACTCTTTCAAACTTAAATAAGGCATTTCATTTATTGAAATATGGATGTACACTGTACAGTCATGTTATTTAAGGATAGATACAACTTTATTAGGATTCAATAACATTTTTGTCTAGATGTACATTTTTATAAAGCTATTTTAAACTTTTTACAGTATTATATCAAAGACATTCAAAATTATAAGCAATAGTTTGTATCGTGGTTTACCAATATTTTTAACCACGAACTTTAAGCCATTTTTTTCAACATTTAGAGCCAGCAGAAACATTTTAAAACACCTTTAATTAACATTAGATACTTCAAAATTCTAATGAGTCGAATTCATTTTAGAGAGACAATAATATCAAAAAAATATTCAGAGGAAGAGAGTGTATATAATAAGCATTTTATTTTGATTATTCACAATCTATCACGACTGTAAACATTCTATAAACACAACACTAAAATATAAAATACTTTTTAAACTTTTAATTCCTCTTTTACTTCAATTGGCACTGACAATACATACACCATATATGTATACGTATATACCAAAATACAACCAACAAACCCAATCTTTTTACCGCCAATAACGCGATCAATTTCAAATCTGAACATTACTGCCTATTTTTATTTAACTGAGTCAAGATAAGGGAGGTTCATCTTTCGATTACCATATTATAGATAATAGGAAACGTATTGAAATAAATAACTCCATGAAAATATCTACGAAAATATCGGTATACTATCAAAGTACGGTGCACTCCATCAGTGACATGTCTACGCAGTACAGTCAACTATTTAGAGATTTCTAAAAATAATTTTTTAGACTTATTTTGATTTATATAAGTATTTTAAATAAAAATCAATTTATAGAAACTATATTGTACTCAAAAAATAATAATTTAAATCAAATATCATTAAAAAACAGTTCACAGGTTCACCTCCAATTGATGTAGTACAAATGACAGTTACGCAGTGTTGCTGTGGTACTAATTACAGTTGCCATGTGCAATTTTTACTAATATCTTACATCGTGCTGTAATTTAAACAAATCGAAAAATTGTGAATAGGCAATTATTGCCAAGCAATTGGCTGTTTATTAAATAAATGATTTTACTCCAGTTAATCAAGGTTTCCACATCCGATTGCCTTGAAATTGTAACAGTAGCTAGAGCATACTTCAAGAATCAAAATCTACCCTATTCCGATGTGTGCTTTTTCCCTGAGGATGAATACCACCCCCACACAGGGGTGAACATTTTGATATAAATAAAAAAAAACATGTTTTTAATCGGTTTTTCATGAATAACTCAAATATCTTTCATTTATCAAAAAACTGGATGAGTAAAAATGAAATATATAAGAAATTTACTTAATTTTGTTGTGGACCCAATTCAAACTGAGATATGTCTTATTAAAGATTAAAATTGTTTTTCGAACAAAAATTTTTAGAGATATGAAATATTTGAGTTAAATACCACAAAAGGTGCCAATTCATTATAATAATTAATGTCATAAAAGGTCATTTAATTATTTTTTTTTCCAATTCTATATTAACAGAGGGTACTTTATAACGGATAAAATATGTCTAAAAGGGTTGAAAAATGATAAATAGTAAATTGAAGCATCAAAAAACCTTAATTCTAGACCTACAAATGTTTTTGAAATTATTTCATGCTCCATTTTCCACTTTTATTGGTTTTGTGAAAAGGGGGGCAGTTTACACCCTTAAAAACAATAAGAAACATCGGCAAAGGGTAGATTTTGATGTGAAGGATAAATAGAGCTTTTACAAAATTTGATAAAAATCGATACGTCTTCAAAGAAATGTGAGGTTATAACCTCATTTTTACCTTGGTAGACTGGACTATTTGCAAAATATTGATAGAAAGCCCGAAAATGGTCAGACAAAAAGATAGTTCCAGTACTTTAGAATTTGACTTTTTTGTAATTTAATACACAGTTAAAAAAGAAAATAAATCAAGTTAAGCCTATTCATAACAGCAGAATCTGTTGTTATGGGTAGGTATGAAGTAAGTGACAATTGAAGTAATCCTACATTATTTGTTTTTGTATCTTTCAAATATAGATATTTACCAACCATTGACGACAAAATATACTCTTTTAAGTTTTAATGGTAGGTAAAATTGTCTAATATTGTTAAAAAAACATAAATATTGCTTTGGACAAAAATATGTTATAATCGATCAATCTAGGTGGGTGGTTAGATATTGGATGTAGATATGACATTTTGACCACCGAATGATAAGTAGTTGTACATCCATTGAAATACTTCATTGACAAAGTTGCATCGACAATAAAACATATACTGCCAGTTTGCCGACAAATCTTGTGAAAAAATTAGAACACAATAGTATTAGTGCTTCATTTATCAAAGATATAGGCTATGCAGATACTAAGACGATCAGACGGCAGATTCAATAACTAAGTGGTGTAACATAGAGATAAGATGCATTTGCAGTAATCTTCTTGATCATTCTGTAGTATCATCTTTTAAGAGTATAAAAATGACCATTACAGGGAGATATGTGATAAAGTACTTTCAGTTGACAGACTTAACCTCAACCGAAATCAAAGTAGAAGGGAATTGAAGATATTGAAAATTAAACGTTTGCACAATGCACTATGTACAATTTAAATACTACGTAACTATTCTTTTCTACATATGACTCTGTCTATTTCTTTATTTGTGTATATTAACCACCCACCTAGATGAGCTCTACTCGAATTTTGAAACATCTTGTATACGCGCCACATGTACATAATAAGTACTGTATAAAAATAATATCGCATTTTTTTTCTCAAAAATCAGCTACCTAAGTTACCACTACCAATAATAATATCAACGATCAATACCAATAGAATAATACTTTTCCGTATTTGGACAGATCTATAAAAAATTTAATCTCAAACGGGGTACAGTATTGTCTAATTATTACTGTTTAGTTTCAACAATTCTTCAATTCGACTGATGCAAACTTTTGAACCTTCGTAGGCTTCTTTTGAAAACTAAAAAAACATAAATCATTATTAAAATTTGTAATACATAAAGTTTATAGTTTCTAAAGACGATAATAAGATAACAAAAATTAATTGACAATTGGAATATAGTAACATAACAACTGCAATACTTAAAAACAGTGACAAACAAAACAAAATAACTAATAAACGTCCAACTAATGACCCTGTTATACGAGCGCTAATAATGCATTAGCGTCGGCGTCGGCCCAATCCGACAAGGACACTACCATGGAGCAAATTATATGAACGGCAAGGTCGGTCATATAAATTTGTTCGTAACTATTACATCAGTCCATTTGATTAGTGATCAGTGTATTAGTGTCTGAGAGTTCGGTAGACTGAGACCTCGTCAGCCCTAAAGAAGACATCAGAGAAGATGTCGAAAGCTCGGCGCCGTAATAATCGATGCGGTTTAACCCGGAAGTTTAATATTAATTCTTGTAATAGTATTAATCTTAGATTTAGATTTAAATATAAACTAATGAACAAAATTAACGCACCACTCATATTTTTCTCAGTAATCTTTATTTATTGATAATTTACTGTACGACAAGTTGCCTATGGACCTTGTTTGGCAGTGACAGTTGTTATGTAAGCTAATAATAGACTTGTTTTAACAATAATTTGTATTAAATTCGTTTTAGACTAAAAGTGAGTTAAACTTTTCATAAAAAGTGCCGATTAAAACAAAGTGCTTGTGAGAAACAAGCTTTTTATTGTAGTATTTTTGAAGTTATACTTCTATTCGCGTGTTCGACGTTGGAAATTTGCACGGGAGTGAATCGGAAAAAATCATTACATATGTAAGATATAGGTAAGAGAGAGACAGAAGATATATTTTCTCTCCCTTTCTCTCTCGATAATAATTTAATTTAAAAAATAATAACAAGCATAAGATATTTTTTTATATTAATTAGGTAGATATATACATTTGGCCTAAGTCTTTTACAAATATTCTTCCTAGAACTTCTATGATTGGTAATAACCTTTCTATTTTGGGAATACAATAAATAAATAAGCACAAACACAAAATACAACCAAAAAATTGACATTTTAGATAATTTTCTTGATGACATTGATTAGTCACCTTAATATTTAAGGTTATTGGTCAAATGAGTTGAAGCGCGGTATTTAGAACCAGAAGTCGCGGGTTCGATCCCAATGAGGGAATATATTTTTAAATTATTATAATCGGATTTTTGAAGTTATACTTCTATACGCGCGTTCGACGTGGGACATTTGTACGGGAGATAATCGGCAAAATCAATACATATGTAAGATATAGGTAAGAGAGAGACAGAAGATTTATTTTCTCTCTCGAGAATAAAAATGTTCATTTTTTAAATATATTCATTATTTATTAATATTATTATTATTTTTTTATTAATATTATTATCATGGCACCTAAATTGAACATACGCGTAAGTAAGTTATGTATATTGTCATTTTTAAATGAATATTGCATTTTAATTTGTATTTTATTATTATATTGAATTATGTTGCAGTGTATTGCATTATATTTTTATATTATTAACAAAAAAAAAACAATAAATTTTACTGCAGAGTATATGTAAAAAATTTACTAAATTTGTAAAAACATTTACTATACTCCTATTAAAGGTCAAATGCACCACATACCTATATACCTAATTCTGTTTCTCTTTCTGCACTCTCTTACCTACAGCAGTACATATGCAATGATTGTGCAAATTGACTCCCTTATAAATTTGTAAAGGCGAACGCGTGTACAGAAGTATAACTTCTACCGGCAGTCCCATTGGACTGCCACACACGTTTTTTTATCACATGCACGTTTGGAAGTTAATTTACATAAAAATCAAATAAAAAATGAACCGCCAAAAAAATTTTTTCAATGGAGGAAGCAGTGCGAGCATCGACTCTCCTAGATGAAGGATATTCAACGCGATACGTTGCAGGTTTGTTAGGGAGACATCATTCCAGCATCAGTTGCAAGGTGAGGCGATATAATGAAACAGGGTTGTACCATCGAAGATCAGGGCAAAGGCGAAAACGTTGCACTAGTCAAATTGATGATAGTTTTTTGAGACAACGTGCTCTCAGAGATAGGAGAGTCACCAGCAATTTGCTAAAAAATGAACTAGCAGATGTTCGAAATGTCGCGATATCGTCTCGAACAGTTAGAAGACGTTTACATGAAGCAGAATTGAGCAACAGGAAACCGGCCAAAAAACCCTTGCTTACCAGATAATACAGGGTACAGAGATTAAATTTTGCAAGATTGCATCAAAATTGGACCATCCAAGAGTAAGCCTAAAAGCTCCAGATGGTCGTGAGCTTGTCTGGGGAAGGCGAGGAGAAAGGTTTGCCAGCTGCAATATC